TATATATATTATAGGGATTGACTACACTAGGTTTCATTAAAATAATTGCCCAGAACAGGTCTTTTCTTGGCATGGCTCTAAAACTAGCCCAAAAATCACATCTAATGGTTATTATAGTGACTTTGGGTGATTTATTTCCTTCCATTCTCTTACAGTGAGGTTAGAGATCTTGTTAAGAACCTCCTCATTATAGAGCACATTTTGTTCCATTATATTTTGCAAGCAAAAACCTTTTGTAGTTTGCAACATCAAAAGCAATCCAGAATTGCAGAATTAGAAAATCAGTACAAAAAAGAGAAACCTTGTTGCACCAATTTTTACTGATATTTTATTTGTCCATATTTTTATTTTAGCAACAACATTCTTTTTGGGCATCAAGAACGAGCGTTTGCATTGGGTTTGACACGTGAAGAATTTGATCTGGGAAAACGCAATTTAAAAAAGAATGTAATTTGTAAACTTCAGTCTGAAGAACTAAGATTTCAAAGATTAACATTTTAAAACATAAATCTGTATAACAATGTGAAAAAATAATGCTTGGGAAAATACGAAAAATATAATTTGAAAAAAATATACTGCATCATGGAGAAAACAGCAGAGTTACTCTTAAGACAGTTTTGTTTTTAGTAAGACGTTTTCATTTCTGGATTGAATTTTTTCCCCCTTAAATTTCCTGCTTGCTTCCTTGCTGCAACAATAATGGAACAAGATGACTACTTCTACTGTTGCATTTGCAAGACAGACTTTTACCCAAATCCAGCCTTATTTGTCCAAGCAATCTTAAACTGTTTAATTATTGCTTTGACTTTAGTTACAGGCAATGTAGTATAGAAAAAAAAAAAAAAGATAGATCTCACAATGGAGAAATTCACCTCTGCGTTATGACCCATCCACTTTGGGGAGCAGTGGGCTGCCACTGTGCAGCGCCCAGGGAGCAGCGTGCAGTTAAGGGTCTTGTTCAGAGAGCCAGAGTGCAGACTGTGGGGATCAAACCGGGAACTTGCAACCTTCTCAGTGCACAAGGACGCTGCTCTAACCACTAGGCCAACACTCCCTTTTAACCATTTCAGGTTTTATCAAGACTACTAGATCACTACTGTAGATATTATTTAACATGGTCTCTTGTCTTTCATGTTTTTAAGAGGATCAAAGCAAAAAAGGCCTCAAATGATGTCAGAGAGACTCTTTTGATTTAGTTTTGGATGACAAAGTTAATGTTTTATCGAAATTGTGATCCTTTTACAACAGTGTGAATTCATTGAAATTGCTTTTATTTTCATTTTAAATGGATTGCTGTCTCTATAATGGTGATAGAAAGGATTTTGTCTACAACATGTATTTCTTCTAACTATCCTACTTGTTGAATAAATGTACGCAAATCAATGGTTAGATTGTCAGTAAAGTTTCAATGAAATCATTCAACTGAAATTAGAAAACGTTTTTACTATGACTAGAAACAAATGTTCAGATAAAAAAAAAAAACAATAAAAAAAAAATTGGCTTAAAAACAGACTTTATTTAAATGTCCCCCACTTTGCAGTGTCGATACTGTTAGAAAGCATTTCTGGAATAAATTTTTACATGAACAAGTGTCATTTAACTCGCAGTTCTGTGTTAGTAGTTTCCACAGGGCTGTTTTCATCCTCACACTTTGACAATGGAGATGCGACTCTTGAGCTCAGCTTTATAGAGTCCCAAGCCTAAACACACAGGCTGAGTGAAGCTGGTGGAGAAAGTGTGGAGGTGGATAAGGTTGTTGGAAGGCCCCACCTCGGAGAAAGTGATGGTCCCAAAGCTGTAATCCACAGCTACTGCAACTCGATTGCCAACCATCTGGTACGTGAGCCGAGTCTTCCTGCGGTTGTGCCAAGCAGAGAGCTTTCTGTCGTGTTGCTGGGTCAAGCTCCAAGACACCTGGGAGCACAACAGCAACGCTTTCAGCAAAGACACCAATGGAGGGAAAGAGAAACACAACACATACTGCCTGAGTTCTCTGTCGTATTGGTATTTTGCACACAAACATAAAAATGAAATTTGCCTTCGGAATAAATTACTGGCATAAAGGTATTGTGGAGGATTTTTTAAAAGACCCTCCCTCTCCAATAAAAAAAAAAAGCCCATTTCACCTTGTGCCCGCCCTGTTTAATATGTGCTTTCCTCATAGCTCATACAAGCTTATTGTGTCCAGAACCAGCAGGGACTATAGTTAACTCAGTTAACTGACCGTTCAGACAGAAGATCACTGCTTTTTGCTCCGTTAGTCAACTCCTCCTCCACTGCTCAGTGCATGCGCCATCTTTGCTATTAGTCGCCACTGTCGGGTAGCAACAGCCTATGGCGACATTGCTGTGACAGCAAATCCCATGGCACAGGCCGCTGTGACAGCAAATCCCATGGCGCTTTGCGAGGAGAGCTCTCCACACGAAGCATTCCAGGATATATCTAACACTTCTGAGGCCTTTCTGTTCTTCTCATACACTTCGTAGACACTTTTTCTCTTATGACCCGCGGCCATTTTCAAAGAACCACGGTAGCTCACCACACATATGCGGCTGAAAGTGTGCATGCGCATAAAATGATGGCCAGCAAGAAGAGCACGTAGGACAGCTTTACATAAACATATCACCAGAATGATTGACAATTAGGAGGACCAGTTATTTAGATGATCCATCCGGAATTAAAAGATCGTCCTCTATGCCTTTAATTAAAAAACATTGAAGGGCGCCATGGGAATAAAGCCAATATTTGATTCTTTGAGACCAAATCAGTGCAGGTAGAAGGTTGTACACGAGCAAACTCCTCTCATATAGTATGGAAGTGTTGGCTGAAAAAAGGAAGGTAAAGGAAAACTACATATAAGCCTTGAGTGCTGACACTGCTGACCTACATTTGGGGTTGAGTCCCGAAATTGAATACTTGTCCTTAAAAGATTAATTTTATTCTCTCCAGATTTTCACATTTCTACAAAAGCATTCAGGCTAGAAAAAAAAAACAAAATTGAGGCACATGGGGAACCTACAAATGCAAGGGGAAATGCTGCGATATACAGCATACAGCATATGCAAAGGAAAACTGTGGCTAGGAACAATAACAACAGCAGGTTAAAAAAAAGCTGAAAACTAGTTCCTTATAAAGGAAATGCTCCAAAATATTAGGAGAGTCGACCATTATTTTATATTTGACCAAACTCTTATCAAAGACATTTACAGAATGAACTCTGTCTCTAATAGACCAGGTATGTTGACATGGACATGGTGTCTAATGTAACCATGTATCATCATACCAATGATTCCTTTATGGCCACAGTGACTGCAGAAAGTTTGAACTTAACTTTCAAATACTGTCCCAATATAGATGCAAAATTGATCTTATAGTCAGTTTCTTCCTTAATAAATCCCTTTCAAGTTTTGAGTGTTTACTTTTGAATACCCTACCCCTATGATTTTGTGCCATTTAGTCATAAGGATATGAACTTCATATTCATGAGGGAATAAAAAAAGTTTGTACCTGTTGCAGTTTCCTCATTTTACATGTGTACAGTATATGAAGTTGCACCTGGTATTAAGACAAGAATTTAGCATTCTGTCAAGTTTGCACGTTTTCACACATGCAAATATAGCTTAGGGGTGCATTACCATTAGTTTACAGCAAATTCAAAATGTCCTGCAATCACAAAAATGAGCCTTGCAGGCTAAAAAATAGGGTAATAAACCCAAAAATTAAATTTGCAAACAGAAAAAATAGACTCGCACAGAAACACCAAAAACATACGGAGGAAACAATGCTGCAAGGGAGAAAATTTGCAATCAAAGAAAATAGGGAGCAGCAAAGTGGAAAAGCCTTGCAAAAATCCCCTGCTGCAAATACATAAATAATGCTAACACACAAAACACATGCAAAGGATAAATGATGCAAGTACCAAAAAACAACTCCAAGTTAAAGCAGAACTAAGAAACATACCTAAAAATAGCCTCTTCCCCTGTCTGGACATTTTAAACTGTTTATTTTTATTGTGCAAGTTTATGACATGAAAGAGGACACAAAATAAAGGTAACAAATGAGAATCAAATCGGGACAGGTCTCAAAAGTCTTGGGAAAGGCGTTTGCTCTGTGATGAGACCTAAAACAAAAAGAAGGATACAAAACTGGTACAGACTTGTAGGAATTATATCTGCTATACTATTGTGACTTTAGAGTGATCCATCCATCCATCCATCCATTTTCCATCACGCTTATTCCAAGCGCGGTAGCAAGGGATGCTGGTGTCTATCTCCAGCTGTCTACAGGCGAGATGCGGGGTCCACCCTGGACAGGTCGCCAGTCCATCACAAGTCAACAGAGACAAACAACCATTGATGCACACACTCACACCTAATGAGAATTTAGAGAAGTCATTTAACTTAACAGTCATGTTTTTTGGCCTGTGGGACGAAGCCAGAGTATCCGGACAGAACCCACGCCTGCACAGGGAGAACATGAAAACTCAATTGTGAAAGACCCCCGGCTGGGAATTGAACCCGGAACCTTTTTGCGGCAAGGCAGCAGTGCTACCCATTGATATATTTTTTTATTTATATCTATAAAACATGGATAGGGTGAATAACTTTATGAGAGCAAATACAATTAAAAAAATTTACAGGAAAGGCAAACTGACACTGACTGTATAAAAGTAACAATTTGCAGTGAAATGTGGTTGTGATATGAATCTTCTAGCCGAGAGTGACAGCGCTGTGCCTGTGGGGTGCAAGGCTCCCAGAGAGCAGTCAGTGTTTACAACAGTGTTATTTTAAAAATGTCCTTTAAAGAGGAATACCACTTGAACGTTACTAAGAGCTGCTTTAAGAAAAGCTGCAAACTAGGGCTGCAAAACAGAAATGATCCAGACCACTAGGGGGAGAGGATCATCAACTCATATTAGACCAGACCGTATATATTACCAAAAACCAATGGCTGTGTGTCCAAACATCCGTCCTGACCCTTCAATCACTGCATGGAATAGGGAACTATATAGTGGAGTTTGTAGTGAACACAGTCATCTGACCATTCGTACAGATGACCACTGTTTTTTGCTCCCCATTGGTCATGTGACTCCAGTTCCCGGCATGGTGCCTGCACCATCTTTTTTTCTCTCTCATCCCAAAACAAATCCCATGATGCTTTGCGAGGAGAACTCTTGCAAAGCATTTTGAGATATATCTGCTCATCTTGTGACCATGGATGCACTCTACTTTTCAGGGTACATTGTGGGGAATTTGGAGTGCACTACTTTTTCCATCCACTAGAAATTCAGACACTTATATAAAATGGTGTAACCACTATATAGTGCTCTAAATAGGGGTTAGGGTGGATGTTCGGACACAGCTAATATCTATGGATCAGACCATTTGCAAAAACATAAACAGGATGCTTTTCAGCAGGGATTTGGGGGAATAAGGAAAAAAGTAAGTTTCCCTTTGAATTTTCTCTAAGCATTTGATATTTCTGAGTGTCCTAATTATGTCTCCATTTATATGTAAAGCTAATTGCCAACTTTTCTTAAATAACTTGCAGTTGTTTGGCTACTTGTTTTGCAGCTTTTTTACTTTTCGTGTCTTTTGTGTGTTACCAACATTTATGTATTTACAGCTGGTATTGTGTTTCCACTTCACTACTCTTTATTTTCTGTAAGTAAAGCTTTTCTTCTTTGCTTCATCTTTTCTGTGCATGGGCCATTTTGCGTTTTTGTCTCATTTTTGTGTTGCTAGTCTAATTTGTTTGTTTCTAAATTGAATTTTTGTGTTTTAAGGACTTTATTCGACCCATATTTGCTGTGAAATAAAGAATTTGCCCAAGCTTTGCACCCCTTGGCCACTATATGCACTCTTTAAAGATAAGTCCTTTAGAAGTTATATGACCAAGTCAGAGTTCATGTCCACAACCTCTCCAGTTACATGAAAAACATTATTCTGGAGGTATTGTGTTAAGTTATATGAAATGTCTTTATCCTTTAAGCTTGGATTACACATGACCAACTAATAAGTGTGATTTTTCAATATTGTTTAAGTCAATTTTATCTAGGTAACCTTACCTAGATAGATTCTTTGCAAAGGTTAAAAAAAGGTTTCCTCTTCCTTATATGTATGTTTTTTGAGAAACATTTAAAGTTAAATGAGAAATAAAGTGCTCAATAGTGCAAGAAAACATATAGTCAAATCTTTACCATCTGATCCCTGGTTACTGGTATAACTATGAAAGTGTGTCCAAGTTTATCTCATTGGTATAGTTCAACCTTGCACAGAAGCTGATTCCTTTTCTGCCAATTGGATAACTTTCTTTGTTCCCTGAAGTCAGGTTATCATATTAAAACCCTTTCCCCCATCTTTAGAAAAGATGAAATGACCACTGACATGTTTGACGGTGCACCCAAGGTAATATGTGTAGTTTTAGTCCTGATATTGTTTTAAAGTTTGATGTCTTGGTAGGTCTGCAGTGAATTTGTTGCAAATTGTCAGATGAGACAGATGTGCAAGGCATTGCATGTGTTTTCTTTACCTTGTTGTTTCCAAAAGCATTTCCTTCTTTCCCCTTCCGTCCGATGCTGCGGTAGCAGACGGCAATGTCCCAGAATCCCTCAACCTCCAGCTCCCAATAGTAGGTCCCCGAAGAGAAGGTCTGGATTGTGAGGACCTGCGGCCAGTGGTCAAAGCGCTCAGGGTGAGTGGCGCGGGGAAGGCGGCTTTTTACACGTGTGACTGAACGCAGATCATCAGAGATGCTCAGCAGAGGATGTGCAGAGTTTGTGTCCAGGGTCAAAGGGCTGGTTACTGTAGGGAGTAAGAGACTCATCAGTTATCTAAAAAATAACATGTTGAGTGGATATGTATTGAGTACTGTATAACTTATATAATATTTCATTTAAACTCCATTTTAAGCAGATTTTACTCATTATGTCAAACTTTCTCTATCCCTTGAAACTCCGCTTTTTCTCCCATTTTATTGGATTGGCTAATTTTATGGAATAAAAAATAGATATATAGTTTAAAACATAACTGAAAATCTTAAAAGTAATTTTTATGGGTTTTGAACCTTGTTAGCTCTCATCAGACATAAGGTAATTGGGTGGCAAATTCTGAGAGGGAAACCAGTCATCCTTTTGCCACGTGACACTCCCCGGGGCATTCTGGGGGATCGTCCTAATGGATAAAGCCGGAAAAACTTTAGAGACTTTTATTCATTTTCATGATTTGAGTCCGCCTGTGCATAATTTAGTCTCAGTATGTATCTCAGGGGTTTGTCAGAGAACAAACAGCATCACAAAAGTAAGGAGACAGGTGGGGAGATCAGAAATAAAGCTCTAGATAAGCTGTTCAACATGCAAAATCTTATGTGGTGGAAAACCAAGACTGTGCGAAACTCAGAACACATGATTCCCTAAATAAAACATGCAGCTGACAGCATCATACTGTGGAGATTCCTTTTTTTCAGCAGCGATACAGGCCAGAGTAACGTTAACATCCAGAAAAATCTTGAAGAAAAATGGAAACCACAAAAGCCTCAAGAGAAGTCTGTGAAACATGAATGCAAAGCTACAATGGATCAGGTTAGATTGAAGCATTTCAACCTGTTTAGAATGGCCTTGTCCAAGCAAGACCTAAAGATAGAAAATGTATCTTTAGAGAAGCTCATCATCCAGTCAGAATTAGTTTGAGCTGCTCTGCAAAAAAATCAAAAACCTCAGTCTATAGAGATGCAGTTTGAAGGAGAATGCTATATGTATCCACAGGGAGCAAAAGGATTTACCGGTAGTAGCAGATCTTACACTTTGGAAGGGAGCCACTTTTTTAAACATGAACTGATTTTAATGAGAAAGTGTTCTTGGGAAAAAAAACATTTAGGGATGAACAATGTTTATATATTGGAATAGATATTTACACCCAGACCTTGTCAATCTTGTTGTTCAAATGGGAAAATATCTACGTGACCCTGAACATATTAAACTTTAAAAAAGTTTTGCCTGAATCAGAAAAGAGAAAAATGTAGTTTTAGACCAAAAGTCTATCCCTAAGAATGCAAATGCTTTTTCAAATCTATAGATCTTAGACATGTCTTGATTAAAAATAGCTGATCCAGTTTAATCTTATTTCTGCAGTTGGTTTGATTTGCTGTTTTTAATTTAGAGTTAATAGTGGTGGGTCTATGTTTGCTTCTTTAAAAAACTGATACTGCAGTTCAAACGCCAAAGAAGCATATTCCTAAACAATTATATCTTCAGCTGGAGTCGCTGGTGAGGAACATGTCTGTTATCCTGTTTAGATTCCGTATTTATAAAGAATTGTATAACGTATTAGAGCAGCTTTTCTTTTCCTTTTACTTCACAAATATGCATGTTTTTGTTTTGCTCTAACATATACAAATAAAATTAAATACATTAGGGTTTGTGGTTATAATAAAAGCAAATATAGAAAAATTTAAGGGACATGAATAATTTTCCAAACGTAACTTCAAAAGCAGACATTTGATAGATAAAAAATGGGTCATTGGAAAAAGAAAACATAATTTCCTCTATGTTGAACAACTGAATTGAAGATATTTAATGGGCTGGTTTGTGCAGCCCATGGGTGTAAAGAGTTACTCACAGAGCTCCTTCTTAAGCTCGCTGAGGCAGCGGAGGGTGGCAGTGATGAACTCTCGATATTTGCTCTCTATGTCTTCAATGATGTGCTTCCTGTCCATGCAGATGGGCTCAGGGAGGAAAAGTGGGCAATTCAGGTCTGCTAACAATCTGCAATAAACCACATGGTCCAGAGTAAGAAAAGTCCCTGGAAAATTCCTTTCAATTATGACATTCTCTAAAGCAAACATCATCTAAACTGGACATGTCCCTTATTATCGTTAATTGATCATCCCAAACATTCTTAACAGAGGAATGTTTACTGCTTGGATGAAACATAAAAATGGCCTCTGTTGATTGGCTCGGACTTACTTTGTGTCATCTGATTGAAATGCCTGCAAAAGAAAAGGAAAGTTGAAAGCAATGTGTGACATTATGTTCCAAGAGAGATAAAGAAAAGTCAAGATCACCTCAAGGTTATTCTAAGGAAGCATGCTCTATTCTATTTTTCTTTATTGAATAAAAGGTTATTGACACAATATAAACTGAAAATTCTGTAAAAGTAGTTTAAAAGAATTCAAAAGGTCTGAATCAATTACATTTGCAGCATTTCTTTATTCATTTGCTTGTAAAAGCGAGTCTTTCTCATGGTCTTGATGCAGAATTTCAGTTGGACTAAAGCCTGAGCTTTACTGGAACACACTGGTTAAAATTACTCCTTTTAAACATGGAAATGACTTGAGTTTCCCTTACTCTTGAAAAAAAAAAGGTTAAAGAAAATTATTCAAAACTCAGCAGATTTCAAACATTTTCTCAAAATTTGATCAACATTGTTTCTCTGGCTGGGCATGATAATAGAGACTATCTAGGGGGAGGGCAGATTAGGGTGACTGCATGAAGATCTTATAAATTCATAAACTTGCAATTTATTGGTAAACATAAATTGTACAAAGCAGAAACAGGCAGATGCTCTGAACTTGAAGTACTTTTTTTTTTATAACTATTGCTGTTTGAATCTACAATAAACCCCATGAGCAACAGCTCTTTGCATTTTTCTCCTCCCCATGCCCCTCTCTTCTCATCTCTTCATGTGATGCCAACTTTTTACAGGGACAGCATCACAATTTTTGCTTTAACTGCACCAACAGAGGGGATCGAGCGTTTTCTGTTGCAGCTCCAAAACTTTGGAATGGATTGCCACTGCACATTAGACAGGCCACCTCTCTGTCTCATCTTAAAACTCTTCTTAAAACCCACCTCTTTTCTTTGGCTTTTGACACCATGTAGAGTGTTGATTTTATGTATACACATGCATATTTTTATCCTGTGCGGGCAGTGCTTTTATTTTATTTACTTTTATTTATTTTAGTTATTTTATCTTTTTTGTGCAGCACTTTGGAAACCTTGTGTTTATTGAAATCGTGCTATATAAATAAAGTGGATTGGATTGGATAACTGCAGCCTGGCAATCTTCCAGCTATCTCAATCTTCCCTATATGCACAATTTGGAGGTGCACCATCTTTTCTGAAGAAATCCTATAGCATAAAGCAAGGGTAGGCAATGTCATTTCTCCACTGTACCACTGTCCTGCAGCTTTTGCATGTATCCCTTGCATCACCTCCTTGACATGTCGGTAGGTTTAGCAGAGACCTGGTGGTAAACCATTTATTTGTTTCAGGTGTGAAGAAGGGGTGCAAACAAAAGCTAGGGGGCAGTGGCACTAATTGAATGGCATTGCCTACCCTTGGCTTACAGATTGCAGTGCATATCTACGTATATTGATTCATAAACGGTGAAACATGCCTCCATTCATTGGCATGAAGCCTGGGTATTGCTTGCTAACATCACCCTGGCTTCAGTTAAAGAAAGGACTGAAGCCAGGTGTAGTGAGATACTGTTGGTGCAAGGCTGACATCCTTATGCCTGAAACTAACTTTTTTCTTCACTCTGATACAGTAGCTGCAAAAATAAAACTATATCATTTTGTTGTTCCAGCACTGTATTGGGGTTCTCACTGCTTGTTCTTGACACAATGTCTAAAATTATTTTTTGCGGCATATCCCAGAACAGTTGCGTTGTTGGTCCTGATTTGGATAGGCTTTAAGTAGGAAGAGCAAACATAATTTTCCCCTTCTTTTTCAGTTTGAAAATTCCTGTTTGCCGCAAATGCAGAAATCTGTATAATGATCTAAGTAATGCATAAACAGAGGATTGGCAGAAAGAAAATATAAACATTTGTGTATATTTTCTAATATAAAGCTGTTAGCTCTTCCCCTCTTCCTCCTCCTCTTCCTCATCAATCCAAAAATGCCTCCTCTATCATTTTGTTGCTGTTGTACTTTCTTTCCAGGGTGTTACGAAAGCTACAGTGGGCGGAGTACTCTTTGAATTCGGCAGATGACCTTCTCATATGTTTTCCTGAAGACCAGAGAAACAATTTTTTGTTATTGCCATTTCAAGGGCAACTTTTATGTTCTGACCACTGTTGCTACCAGCATCCTTAAAATATTTTGTGGAAGGGCAAAACAGAATAAAGCATTTACTCCAGAGAAATTAAATTGTTGGGATTAAACAGTTATATCTTGTATATCTGAATGTTTTGCACAAACTTTTGCAATCCTTCTTGCACTGCAAGTTAAGTAAACTTATATGGGTCTCTTTGCCATGCTTGCTGTAACCAAGTACCTATTGCTGCACTGAGTAGTTTGGAGATTCTCACCCAAATGAGCAGGAAAGGGTCAGTCTCTGCCAGCAGCAGGTTCAGGTAGTGCTGAATTTTCACTGTCTGGCTCATGTCGTCTTTCACTCTGACGCAGTCTTGTTGCACACGCTCTATGATCTGCTGCCTTTCCTTCTTGGTGATCTCCTTTAGAGCCAACACCAACCTCTTCACCTGGACCTGTAGATCTGTGTCCAGCCGTTCCACCTGGCTGTTATCCTGCTTTAGAGAGTCCTGCAGGATGTCATACCAAAAATGAACTAGGGCCATAAGAAACAGGGTACTCTTATAACAGTTAGTGTATTTTTGTTATTGTTTTGTTTTTGCCATATTTGGACAACAAAAATCTAAATGTCATGAAACTGATTTTGTTTTAAAATCTCTTTTGCTGATTTTGGGGTTGGCTGGCTGTTTACTTCTGGTAATTGGAGTGAGCAGGTGCACCCATCCATCTTCTAGCTAACCACTTTCCTCCCAACTGCCAACATGCCTGTTACCTGCCTCTCTCTATCAGTCTTCACCAGATTGTCTCCTTGCACTACCAGCCTTCCTGTATCCCTGTGGTTGGCCTGTCTTGATTCTGATCAGCCTCCTACTCGGGTCTTTTCTTGCCTGTCTCCGGTTGTTCCACCTGTGTTCCAGTTTGTTCAAAGCTTTCCTCCAGCCTGTTAGCAACCATCCCTCAGCTTAAAGCCTACATCAGCTTGTCAGCTGCTGATTCTGCACTCATTTGCCTCTTCGGGCTTGCTACCAGTCTTCCTTTCTGCATACCAGAACATTTCAGAAGTGTTTATTCAAGTTTTTAAAACACACTGTGTCTGGTTTAATACCATGTTCTTAGAAGTTATTGCATCACACAAATAGTATTTGATTTTGATGCTACTGTGATATTGAAGTAATATTACTGAATAATTTAGATTGAATGAAAGAATGTTTAAAACAGCAACATTTTGAGGTGTTTTAAGACCAGAAATAATTATTGAAAAGTGGGCCTTAATAAAATTTTTTCCCTCTTAAGTACAATAATAGACGTTGAATACCCAGTTTTCAATGTCTTTTCAAAAATCTTTCACTTTTCAACCAAATGTAGATGTTGTTTATGATGTTTAATCATGTCATCTTTTCATTGTCTTTCCAGCCAATTATTGCTCGGTGGGTAGAAGACCATCGTGATGGTTCAGATGTATAAACCTTCAGATGTTGAAAATGACATGCAGCACAGATGGCTTGGTAGTATAACGAAAGAATCCAGTAATGAACAATTAAAAAACAGCAGCTTAAATACTGAGAAGAAAAATGACAGAGGAAACAGATGGGCTAATCAGTGGTAATGAAGAAAAGTTGTAGGAAGCTGAGGGAGGGAGACTAATTAACATGAACAAATAAATTCAAGCACAAATAGATGAAGGGAAGCTGACAGTAGTCAAAAGAAATAAATCCAAATGCAACATGAACTGCACAAAAGATCAACAGAGACTTCAAACAAAGGAATGAACCAATATGGCAAAACCATAAATGAAGAAAGAATAGCTGAATATGGCAAGAACTAATGAACATAACAAACAACAAGGAAATTTCAAGAGTTAAAAAACAATCCACTGGACTTAGTTTCCAAGTTTGAAGATGTTTCCCTTCCCATCCAGCTTTTTCAATTCAAAATGTCAGAACTAGCATTGAGTTCGAGGCTTTATAAAGTGGACCAAAACAAAGCCTTATTTTGCCTTAGAAAACATGAAAATTAAACCAGAAGTACGGGTCCGCTCCTTAGGAATGTGGAGTCGTTTGGTTCCTTTGTGAGCCCGCAATAGCCGATACTTGTTTATCCCCCTGAAAGGGGGGTTGTTAGGGAGAATTGTTGGTCTGGCTGAACAGGCGAGATGTTCTAGTCTCCTGTATGGGGGTGGGGGACTCTATAACGCCTCAAACTCAATGCTAATTCTGACATTTTGAATTGAAGAAGCTTCCTGGAAGCAAAACGTCTTCAAACTTGGAAACTAAGTCCAGTTGATTGTTTTTTTTTTGTTTGTTTTTTTACTTTTTTTGGAATGACTATGACCTGGATGACTGAGAAATGTCACCAGCATATAACATGGAAACAATACAAAGACAAAAAAAATCTGTCAATTTGTAAGAAAAAAACAGACAAACAAACAAACCCTCCAGTATGGAATAAATGATGAAACACCCACAATTACCCAACTTAATATAGGTAAGGAGTATCACATCGGGCGCATATGATGAGAACATCATTACTAGTTTTTTAAAAGGAGTTTAGCATTATTTAACCTTCCTAACTTGGAGCCTACTTGCATGGACATCAAAATTGTCAACAAGATACTTCTCGTCCAAGTAATTTTAGCCAAAGGAGGTAAAACTTTTCAGAGCAAAGTTACCCAAAATTGTTCCTTAACTTAAACACATATTTTATTAAGAGAAGCATAACAAGATTAGTCATTTAAATGTTTAGCAATAAAGACTAAAATTCCTTAAATGGGGTGTCTTATTTACTTCAAATGACAACATACAATATATTTAACTAAATCAGGTGATTAAAGATAATAATTTATCTTTAAAAAGTTTTGTGCCCCCAAGGTTATGAAATAGCTTTATAGTTTAGGACAACTTTAGCTGATAAAGTCAAGGTTTCAACTTACCGCCATGACAGAATCGATGTTTTCATGCTCTTTGAGAACTTTCTCACCCTCTTTTAGCTTCTTTTCTGCTTTGCTGAGGAGATTCTGTAAGATGATCTGCAAAATGAAGAATCTGTTAACCATGATCTGACCAGCGACAACACACTGACCTGCAAATACATTAAGATCCCCTGAATGTTTTCTAAATATCTAATAATTACAGCATGTTTTATAATGATTCTATATTATAGACGGACGAACAGCAGTGCGTAATTAGAAAGTGAAGAGAATGTGGTAATAAAAATCAAAAGACTTTGAGCCATTATATTCTAAACCCACTTTCTGTTGGTTTGACACAGAAAATCCCAGTAATGTACTTTAATGTTTGTGGTTGCAGTGTGATAAAATTTTAATGATTTTATTAAAATCATCAAGCTCACCTTCAGGTCCTCCTCCACTTTTTTCAGCGGCTTCACTTTGTGCAGAGTGTGTCCCCCCTCCAGCAGACAGTCCCCGCAGACATAAACCCTCTCATCCACACAGTAGTAACGAAATACCTCTAAGTGAGCAGGACACCTGCGCTGGGACAGGTCCCCCAACGGCTCCACCAGCAGGTGGCTGCTGAACGCTGGTCTCTCCAGGTGGGGTCGAAGGTGGTCAGCACAAAGCGACACCTCACACCTCAAGCAGGTTTTGACAGCCATCGGGGAGGGACCGTCCTCCCCCTGGAGAGGGCAGCAGTCACAGAGGACTTCACCATGCTCCTCCTGACATTGGGGGCAGGTGAAACAACCTTTTCGCTCCTCCTGAGGGATCCAGGCCTCACGGATGCAGGCAGGACAGAAGCTGTGGCCACAGGGCAGAGGGTGGGCCTGGCTGAAGCTGTCCCGGCAGACGGAACAGGTCAGCTCTTCCTCCAAAGCTGCCATGGAGCTCAAAAGATGATGCCTAATGATGGATACAAGCTAATTGATTTGAAGCAGAATGAAGCAAACAAGTGAGTTGGAAGGCAATCAATGAAGCTAGAAAAAATATAAACAGCTCTTTGGGGCTCAAATGAAAGAATATTTGTGGCGGTTAGATGTCCTTCCTTCATGTAACAGCATTAGAAAGACGAGAGGGAAGCCTTTGATTTGTGCCAACTGTTCACTCAGACCAGTAATCCTGTCTACTGGGATTTTCACCTACTCTGTTCTAAGATTAGAACAATTCTCAGTACATACAAAAGAAGTCGGCATAAAAACAGAAGAATGGCAAATTAAACACATAATGATCAACATTCTATTGAAAAACTGCTCTAACATGTGAACTGACATCCACAACTTGGCATTGAAACAAGATCGATGGCCCAAGTAGTCAATTAAAAGCAAGCAATGCGCAGCAGATGAGGAAAAAACAAAGCTATTTTCTTCTCTTTTTCATCTAAGGAAGATTGGAAAGATTAAAATACTAACCAAATGAGTATTGACTTACTGAGATACAAGCTGTTCCAAAGAACGGGGATCAGGAGATCATCCTCCACACCTTGTTTTCTTCATTCCTTCTACTCATGCTCTATGCAGATTATCTTTGATTTATTTTATTCCTGTTTTTACATATTAGCTTCTTAATTATCAACAAACTAAAAGTGATAATAAAATCCCACGTTACGCTCTACTCTCCTGGTGTTATCGGATTGCTGCCATCAGTGGAGGGCAGCTGGTAGATCGGCTAATCCCAACTGATTCATGGCAGTCAGAGAGGTCGCCTGACCCTAAATTGCTAGGGGGAGGTAGGAGGTTATTAGGAAAGGTTAAATGTAGAAGATTCTTAGTTTTTAGATACATTTTCGGTTGTTTTTTCCCCCAGATTATAACTCCATACTAATTTCTGTTATTTATTTATTTATTTTATTTTTTTATTTTTTTATAATAAAGTAAACTAGAGTAGATGAAAATTATGAAGTGGGAAGAACATGAATATAAAAATATTGAGTATGCTAGAGCTGCAATAACTGAGAAATGGTTAGCCACCTTTCTTGACATGTAGAGCATTTTTTCCAGAAGCGGACAGAGAGTACTTAGTACTCTGAAGGAGCACCTGAATGTCGTATCTCATCTGTTAATAAATGTCCCAGAGCTAGATGATAGCCCGACAGATTTGCTTTCATAAGCAGACCACTATTACTGTTGCCATAATGTTTTACTTGGCACTTGTGTATGAAACTTTATTGAAAATTATTAAGGGAGTAAAATCAAATACAAAGTCATGGAGATAAAATAAGCTTCCAGAGCAGTGGGTAGCCCACATATCCATGTGTGTGGAAGGCAAAAATGATGGTTATTACTATTCAGGGTGGTATATACAGTATTTGTAGCTGCAGCTTAGTATTTAGTATCAGTGTGTATATGTGAGTACCTGGAACCAAACTCCTGTGGTATGTATGCATGGACTTGTTCTTGCATAAAGGGTTTACAAAGCTTCTTCAGATGAAAGATATGCTTAATAGCAGGTGTGGGCGGCCCCAGACTTGCCCTAGAGGGCCAAGGACCCAGAAAGAGGCAATCCTCGCCCCAGATATTCAAAAGCACCCCAAATCATGACACAAGTAGGGCAGAATCAGAGATGGCTGCTCCCACCAGAGAACTGCGGACGAGAACACCCGTAGCCCGACCCCAACGGGGCCCAGTCCCTGAGGGACCTGGCCCAAGAGGCCATTATGCCCAGGTCCCACAGGGCTGCGGCAGTCAGGAGTCCACCCCGACCCCAGTCGCAACCCAGGCAGTCCATCCCCCTAGGCCAAGTAGCCACCTGAGCCCATGTGCCAGAAACCCCCGAGTGTCACCTCACAGGGATGTAGGGACAAACCGGGCCTAGGGTCAGGGCAGGCAGTCAGGCAGACACACACCACAAGCTGAGTTACAAAAGAGATTCAAGGAGAGATACAAGCACAAGTGTTGTATCTCTTCTGCTGTACAGCAATGCCAGCCAGCCAGCTGCCCCACAAGCAATGGGCCTCCAATGTCCCAGACCGCCACTCAATGCCAGAGACCATCGCCGCAGGGGACGGATAAGACATTGAAGCTATAGGATGGGATCAAATGCCGGAGAGCCCTAGGAGAGCCAGAGACCCCAGCTAAGCCATGACCAACACACGGGCCCAGCCCCATCTCCAGGCCGAGCAGCCAGAACAGAGGTCTGAAAATCCTTGTGCCAGCCCCCTTGCTACTCGGATATAGTGTTGTTGCCTGTTGGACAACTGTGTATTTAAAACTTAAAGCATTCCAATGACCACAGGTGGGCATGAGGATCGGAATGCATCCCCCAAATATGTCCTATAAGTATGTCTTGGAAATGTTAAGAAATTATCCTGACTATGATGCTCATTAAAATTGGGGCATAGGCCACCACCAGCATGGGAAGACCCACCTTGGTGATGATCTCTTCCCCAAGGTCCCATGTGAGATAGAGCAGGTGAGGGGAATCAACAAACCTAAGTCATGCTGCCGTGCTTATTTTGGCTTATCAGCTTTTGTTTGAAAGTTTGATATGCCTCTCTAACACTGAGGAGGAATAAATTCCCTGAACCTTGATTAAAAACCCTTTATCACTGCACAATAGAGGGTATCCTGACATATAGCCTACATGTACAGTGTGGTATGCAAGCTGCGCTGCATCCAAGAAGAAAAACACCTCCAGTGGGCCATCAGGACAGCTCAGTGTATCACCTGCTCTCATGCTTAGAGGAGGTCTAGTCCTGTCATTTCCTTCTAATGAGCCACAAACTTCAATGACGACCCAATCCACCCAGGATCAACCTTTCCTCTGGAAGAATCAGAGCCCTGCGAGCCCACATTAGCAGATATTTTCTTTTCCTCATGGTTGGGAATATTTTATTTAGGGCACCATTAACCCTGACTATCAATTTACCAGTCTATTTTAACTATATTAGCACAGCTAAAAGAGTTGTTGTTAAATTAAATTCAATTACATCCTTTAAAAAAAAATAGAACAAAGCATCCTCTTCTTCTCTAGAGCATTCCATACTCAGTGCTCTTTTTAATGGGACATTGTGAACACAACTAAGTGTCCAAAATGATTCCATAATGTTCTCTAGATATTTTTTAGCAGCAGTTTTCTTGGGTCTTTACAAAAAGGATTTGTGTCATTTATAATGCACTGCTTGTGCATTTAATCTTGGGTTTTGCTAAATAAGTCATGAGATAGTTTTACATTTCATGTGTCACGTTTGTCCGAGGTCCTATCTATCTAACTTGAGAATCAGGCAAGTATCCAAAGAATGATTCAGAATTGGTAACATTATATGATTTAGGATGGAATAAAATTTGTGGATCAGTGTTTTAAAACCTAATAGTTGATAAGCAGCAGGTATTATAAAGCTTGCCTAACCGCGCCATCTAGTGGGTATAATAAGTTAAAGCACCAGTGGGCTGAGTTGCCTTTAATTCTATATGGCAGGTAAAGAATGAGGACTGCTTTATCCTTCCTGTAGCCCAATTGTGGAGACAAAGGAATATAAAAAACGTCACAAACGTGTTGTTTACAAATAAAGATCTTAAAATTTGGGCAGTTGTATTTGGCTGAGCCACATGTTTTTTGCTAAACCATAGCTGCAAGGTTTTTAGTTAGCTTCCCATCCAGCATTTCATATTTTAGCATCTTTATTATACAAATATATATTTTTCCAGGATTGCTCATGAAACTTCCTGCCCTTGCTGAAAAAAACTCATGCAGCATGACTCTGCCACCATGTTTTCTAGCAAAGCTAACATCTTCAGGTTCAGGTCATTTTTAGACACAAAGCTTTTTGCGCATAGACTTATTTTACTGTATAGGTGCTGTGTTCCTCTGACTCATCCAATGAATAGTTTGACTTAAACTGAAATTAAATTACTCACAAATTGATTTAATTTAATCCTTTTTATACACAGAAATATTTCACCAAAATTTTAAGAGTTATGTAAATTTATTACAAATTCAGTTCAATTCAGATTATTTATACAGCGCCAATTCACAACACATATGTCAAGGCACTTTACAATGCAACCAGATCATACAGTCAAATTGATTCAAAGTTTTCTATGTAAGGAAAACTGGTTTATTGCATTGACTGGAAGGCAATCCCTCACACTAAGCTTCAATGCTGCTTGTAGCAACATTGAAGAGGAAAAACTCCCTTTTAACAGGAAGAACACTCCAGCAGAACCAGGGTCAGTGTGAGCGGCCATCTGCCGAGGCCGACTGGGGTTCAAGGTGACAGAAGCGGAGATACAAAAAGAAGCAGTGATACAAAAGGCAACTGTAAAAGGCGGCCCCATTCAGGAAACACCCAGCCAGGGTCCCATGTCAGAGGATGAAGAGAGCACATCCAGCCAGTCACAGTCAGGGAAACAGGACTACATTGAAAAACAGGCCAATCTTGAACATCTATAACCAAAGGTGTTGATGGCAAGAGCACAGCTGATATTCCTCTCCAGGATGGTGTCCCCTCTAACTATAAGTTTTATCAAAAAGGAACGCTTTAAGCCTAGTCTTAAAAGTAGACAGGGTGTCTGCCTCACGGACTAAAACTGGTAGTTGGTTCCACAGGAGAGGAGCCTGATAACTAAAAGATCTGCC